CAACTTTCTCCTTGGTTTCTTTTTCTCCGAGCTCGGAGAACTCGTGGCCCTCTTTCTTTTCTTCTCACCACCCTGTCTCGGAACAGGGGACTCGGCGGGGAAGTTCATGCCACTGGATGGAGGCCTTAGAGCAACGTCCTTGGATAAACCTACAAAAGGAGATAAAACAAGTGAAAACTTAACGACACGAGAGGAACTCAAATGTTACTTACACGGGAAAGGAATCTCACCATGAGAACGGGCCTCCAACCGACCCTTTGAAAGTTCGCGCCATGAACGCTCAGAATACGGCCTTTGTAACATGATGCCCTCGACCCACTCCTTGAGTTGAGGGACTGTATTCGGGACCCGAGCTGCAGCTGCACCACCACAAAACACTGATAAGAAGGAAGGAAAAAAGCATGAAATAAAATTTTGTAAGCAAAATTTTACTTGCGTGATATATCCCACTTCTCGGAGAACGGCATGCGATCAGCTGGGATCAAGTCCGAGGTCCTAACTCGAATGAAACGGCCTTGCCAGCCTCGATCCCATCTTTATCAATTCTCGAGAATGGGGTTTTGCTGGCCCGACGCACTAGCTTTGTCAGTCCCCTGGAAGATTTGGGGACTGTATAAGCGCATAAGGTGGTTGATGGTGAACGAGCATGCATCGATCTTGCTCACGAAGAACCGGAGAAGGATCACGATCCTCCAGAATCAAGGGTGAATTTGAACGAGGCATACCTCGTATCTTTTGCAGAAGTCGATGGTGACCGGATCCAATGGGCCCAATGTAAAGGGATAAGTGTAGACACTTTGGTATCCCTCGACATGGGAGGTGATGTCTTCATCGGGGTCAGGAACCACCACGTGCTTGCCAACCCAATTGCAATCCTTTTTGACCGTAGAGAGGACTTCTTCAGTGATCGAGCAAACGTATCTCGAGACCTTCTCACACTGGCCTTGTACGGAGGAAGGTTTTTCAACCTTAAAATCGGCGGTTACCGAGCATCCTCCAAGGACGAACATTTTCAATGGGGGTTCCGGTACTGGTTCCTCGGCAGCAGTACGTCGAACAGTCTCCTCGGTAGTCGGCCGTGAGGTGGATGGAGTTTCTTTTTGGGGACTGGTTTTTGAAGTCTTCGCCATTTCTTTGAAAATGTAGGAAAAATGAGGAAAAAGAGGAAGTTAAAGGAGTACACTTGATGGCTTGAGATAGAAATGAACAAGGGTTCTTGCAAAGGATCTCAAAATAACCAAAGTATAACTACTAGAAAGGGATGAAATTTCGAAGTACGTGGAAAAAAGGTTCGAATGTAAAGTTAGAATGAACAAATTAGGGGTATTTATAGTTCTTCAGTGTCGGTTCACATCTAGTAATGGCAGATCGGCGGCTGACATGCATATAATGCTATTAAGACTTGACTGACGAGATGTTTCGTTTATTTATTCGTTTATGTCATGGGATATCGAAGTAAGAATTTGGAGTTCATGTCGTTTCTCGTCGTCTACTCTCCGAAAAAAGAGAGGACTATTTGTATACGGTCGAAATCGAGCTCGCCTACGACATAGTAGGTCAAGTTTGAAACATGGCAATAAAGGACTGAAGATCGACCCCAAGTCACACCGGGCTAGAACCCGGGATTGGAGCGTCTGCCTTCGAGAGTATCGGGGCCGTGATCCCAGAATCGATCCCAGTACCGAACGAGTTCGAAGAAACTTAGTTAGCATAACAGAAGACCTAAATATCCGTGACTGGTCGGATATTACGACGGAAATCTCGGCACGTATCAGTGAGGAACTTGCAATCGGCAAATCAAGAGAGTTTTTACCTTTTATTGAATTGTACCTAAAGTAGGACTCATCTACTATATAAAGGGTAACACATGGTAACACGCATTCCAAAGCAACACATTATTATTATTCTCTTTACACTCTTATTCTTCTGAGTCTTGATATCGATCGAAGTGCATTCGGCTCGATGGTGGCTAACCTTCCAAGGCTGAAATTGCCCAATTCATGTAATTTGCATTTACTTTATCGTTATTTATTTCAATTGCACTCTAATTTATCATTTTGTGTCAAGTTAATCCACATATCCTTAAAATCACTTATAAATTCAATTGTTATCCGATTTTAAGGGTAAACAACTTCACCAGAGCTCAGAAGAATTGCAACAATTGTTGGTAAAAATTTTCACACAAGAAAAAGAGTTTTACACAGGAAACAAGCAAAATACTCTGAAGTTGAACTTTATAAAGGTCGTTGGTATTCCAGCGTCATCGTCTTTCTCACGTCATGAATTCCAGAATTTGTTCACCTGCAATAACTAAAGCTTGATTTTAAAAAGAAAGAAAAGAATAAAGGAGGAAACTTGGAAGAAAAGTATACTCAATGGAGGTACAATTGTGTCCCTGCAATTGTCTTACCCGTCCGGAGACTCTAATAATAGTTTCGAAATTTTCTTTTGGTGGTCGAGTATTGCACAGGGTTCCTTATATAATGGGTTAAGGCGGCTAATACTTAGACTCATAGACTGAATCAATCAAAGGGTTGGTGTTGGAAAGTGAGTTGGACTTTACATATGCAGCTGTGAACATATTAAAAATTAGTAGAAGACAAGTGAAAAGCTTCTAAAGGATGTGGCCTTATCTTAAAATGAACCTTGTGGCTGGCACTAGTTGTTTGTATCCTGTTGAAGTTAGGATATAATAATGTTTTACCAATGTATGAGCAAAAAAGCTTGATCTTATGTGCCTCCGGTCCAAAATAATGACCAATCAAGAGTCGTCAATAGTCTAAAATGACATATCTTGCCCAATCACAAGCAAGCTCATCACATAGCTTATGTGATAAGTTTGATGACTCACATGAGCCAATTAGAATCAAGCAAGAGAGTTCATGTGTAGTTGGACTGTCCATCCTCTACAACTATAAATACAGGTTACATAACTCTTTGGAGAATGAATAAGGAAGAGCATTCCGTAATTGGTGGAGATATCCGTAAACAGAGAGATCAATCATCAAGTGCATAGTTCTTCAACAAAAAAGGAATCAACAGAGTTATTCCCGGAGATCAACCCGAAACAACAAAGTGCTGCTCGACATTCTTGGCGATTAAATATATCACAAGGAGGTCTGCATCATCCTACATTCGAGAAAGACGCTTCTCAAGCCTTGGAATCATGGAGAATTTCATAAAAGAGAATCAAAGAATACATAGAACTGTACTCACAAATGTTCATCAATAAAATCTCTTTTTCTTCGTATTTTTTATGTTGTAGTTTATTTTTCGTACTACAAAATTTTTGTTGCGAACAATGGTGACAATTTTTTTTTTTTTTTTTTTTTTTTTTTTTTTTTTTTTTTTGCTGTTGAAATTGAGAATTTTTATTGATAGGAAAACACAAATAAGTTATGATGATCTGTTAAGACTTATGAACAATTTGTATTAAAGTTGTGATATGATTTGTACTACAATTATGACAATCCCTTAGAACTTGTGATAAACTAAGTTTGCTCATTAATCAGAGCTTGTCACACTCTGTTTAGATTTGTGAAATTGTACCCTATAGAGCAAACTCTTTGAAACATAGGGTACTGCAATATATGCAAAATGTCGTAAAACATTTCATAAAAAATCATGTGTAAACATTAAAATATCATAAGCATTTATTAAATCTAAATCGTAAAGCATTTCAAAGTATTTTGTAGCTTTAAACTGTGTCATTTGACCTTTTTCCATAACTGAACATAATATTTCTTTAGCCGGGGAGTTCCTATAGACACTAACAAAATTATAACTGCGCTGCAAAATCCGATCGACAAGGCGTTATCACCATAATGGCCGTATGGATCAACATTTGATACTACACTTGCATCCGTTTTAGGAAGGTAAGGTATAAGCTAGTCACCATTTAAAAGCGAATCTAACTACTATCCTACACCGACATGTAATTTCTAGATGAACACATTGGGAATAACCTCTCAGTTCCTAAGGTTTTCCCAAAAATATTTAACTTATATCATGTGGCTTTTCTGGGTCCATAAAACATATAAAGCCGCTTCGGCCCCTTATCATTTCATGTCGAATTGGACAAGTGGACTATACTCATTCTTTAAACATCATACATAAGTACATAACGCTGTAAGTAATTTCATATCTCTATTACTTGAGAACAAATTAATAAGTTCAAAATCAAGTAGTCATTGGAAAAACATGAATTTTAAACATGAAATCTCATAAACATTCTTGGATCACATACACTTCATGTAACATACAGTGGTATCTTTAACATTAAATTATATCTTATAGCTAAAACATGAAGTATAAGCATCGCATGGTTCATTCGACTACACAAAATATCTATCAAAAACATGCATAGCGTGGCTTGCTTGTTCGTATGAACACATACTAATATTGAAAATATATTTTTCTTAGTCTCCTAATTATCGGATTAAGGGTTTTAACCGAATGTTTCTCTCACTCAATGCATTTCTTCGTAAATCACCTTAAATGGAGTTACCGCTACAGGAAAATAGGTCTTTAGAGGTGGGAAATTCGGTCGTTAAAACTCCAAATCCGGCCATTATCTGTCAATTACGATGGGGTAAAAACCGGTCGTCGCCGGTCGTTAGTGCCTCCGTTAAAGGTAAATGACCGGATTTTGATCCCGTCGTCAAAACTCTTTTAACGATGGCAAGGAATCCAGTTGTTATACCAACATTAGCGAGGGGATTTTTCCATCGTTATATGTCATCTCAGTCGTTAAAAACTTCACTAACAGTAACTAATTTTCAGTCGTTGTTAGTGTTTGGCGACTAAAATTTCATTCGTTAATTGTATGTACATTCAACGACATACTTTTTAAAAACCAAAATTTTCCTTCGCTAATGTGAAATTTTAAGTAATAAATATATTTCACGCATTCGAAGCCATATAAAAAATGTAGTCAATATTGATATAAAGCATCTTTTTTAATTATAGAGAACTAATCAAAGTAGCAGTAATATTACATCCAAATATCATGCACCTTTTTTTCAATTCCTTAAAGAAAACATAAAAATTAGAGAGAAAGTATAATAGTAGTTTTTACAGATGAGGACTATAACTCCTAATAAAACAAAATAGATTTCCCTTGTTCTTCAACAATTCTAGCTGCTTCAACTTGCTCGAAACTATCTTTATGGAAGATTCTTCAAACTTCAATCCCTTTATCTATTAAAAAAGGTTCATATTAGTTGAGTAAGAAAACAAAATTTAAGATTGGTAAGTTGCTACCACACAGTAAAATATAAAACCACGAAGCGAAGAGCATCTCAAAATACTATGAACAATCAGTGCTTCTTACAACAACATTACTAAATCCAACATTAAGAGTATCATGAAACGTATTACAAATGCTCGCCAACAGTATAATAACCACAACATTGGGAGCAAATGATACAACACAAAAAAGTATTACGGTTCCCTCCTTTTGCACAATCATGTTTAGGAAGAACCATAGAAAAACTAACTTTCTTTAACAAGAAAGAAACACTTAGGATTGAATTATTGGTTATTTAGGACTTCACAAGTTATTGTATTACATAACCAAAATGGAAAAAAACAATTAAAGTGAGGTTGCAGAAGCATTGATAATACAAATAACTTCAACCATGAGTGGTGAGGTGGTTGTTTTTTTATGAAACTTTTTTGGTGCGCCACTAGGTGTTAGATGGGAAGAAAGGCCTATCGGAGATGAAAATAGCTCCAAGATCATGGCCTTCACCTCTTCATTGGGGAACTGCAACAGCAACATAGCTGAAGCAAAGGCAATCTTAATTGGAATAAAGTGGAGTTCTATGATGGTTTCACTAACATTGTGTTAGAATGCGACTCTTTGTTGATCTTTAATATGCTGAAATAAGTTCGTAGACCACCATGGCACTTGAAGGATATTATTGAAGAAATCAAGAATTATACTAAGCTGGTTAACTGCACAATCCAACACTGCTTTAGAGAAGAAAATCAGGTGGCGCATGCATTGGCTAAGTGGAGTGTTAATAAGTTAGATCATGTATTTTTGCCCAGTAGTGATCTCCCTCAAAATATCAAAGGCCCTTATCTGATAGACAAGATGCAGGTCATCACCTTTAGACATAAGCATAGAGTAAACATCTTCAATGAAAGTTGACACTTCAGTTGATAGCCTATCTACTGTATTTTGGTAAGTCTGTTAGATAGGCTTAAAATTTTTGGGTAGTGTTGACTGGGCTTGTCCAGTCACACTAAAGCTAAGGGTAAGGATGTTTAATCCACCTCCTTTTTGTACAACTATTTTCTATCAATGGCAGGGTCTCGCCACCATACGGCGATGTTATAATTAAAAAAAACTTCAACCATGAGAGCAATGTGCAGAAGAAACACATACATAAACATGTCCCATTTTATGAGCTCGAGAAACAAATGAAAGTTGAAATTCAATTCCAGATACATAAACCTGGGTCTATAGTCTCATAATTCGTTCTTTCTTTCTCGCTATCGCGCTGATTTAAATATTTAAAGTGAAAATTCTTTTTATCTGCAGTTTGTTCTACACATTTGACCAAGGACTTGACCGATAAACTAATAGATGTTCTCTATTTCTTAGAGTATATGGATTTATATTATGTGTTCAAGCTTAACATGTAAATAGGATAGAAGCTGCTCGATCAATTACCAAAGCAACTAACTAAAGAACTGGAAAGACTTGGGGTAGAAAGTTAAAAGGATCCTTGTGTCCTTTTGTATTATTATTTGGACTTCCCAAGGTACTAAGTGGAAGAATTGTTGGTAAGTTTTCTCAGGACGCTACTAGAAAATAAGTAGTCTAAATAAATGTCTTCCAAAAACATAAGAAAAAAAGTATAAGTATAATAATTAGCCACCTTCCATAGCTAACAAAGGTGTAAAACCTTATCTTATCTATATTCTCTATTTTAGAAGATCATATCACAAATGCTCACCGACAAAATATGTAACAACTCGATTCCTCAGCTTTCAATTGCACGACTCAAAATCACCACATATATCTTGTTTAATACACAAGATAGTAAAAAGATACTAAACTATGAATTTGGTACATATGAATTTGCATATTTTAGCTTGCCAACCACATATATTGTTATAAGTTCAAACAATGAATCTGAGATGCACATATCTAATTGGATTTCAATATTAGAGTAACTATACATATGTCAAGGTCAGTACTTTATTTAACTAACAATAAAAAATTCACTACACTCATTTATGGATATTCATCCGGTTATAGTTGGTAGAAAACCTACGCACCTGTTAAATATTTTAGCTTGTACTTTGTTGACTTGAAGATGGTGCTGATGAAGACTGATCAAACGGTAAGCTTATAATATGTGCATACTTAGAATCTATGCCGTCCATACGTATTTCTAGTGATTCTTTTACTTTTTTAGTCGCATTCAGCTCGGTCTGTAGTGATTCTTTTTCTTTTCGAGTTGCATTCAGCTCAGCCAGTATTGCAGTCTTTGAGGAACTACCGCCTTTCAACTACTTAGTGGTTATACCACCCCCTAATCCAACTACGTGGCTCTTGTTTTGAGGTCCGAAGCACCTTTCTACTACCTCGATATTCGTAAGAGACGGCTCAGATTTTATCAGTTCTTGTATCCCAGCCTATAAAATACAAGAAACATTAAAATAACAAAATACATCAAAATAAAATGAAGGATGTAAAATGAAGTTCATCAATAAACATACATATTTTTTACTAGCTTCAGGTTCTACAAGTGTGTCATTTTTCTTGTGAGTCTCAAAGAAGATAGTCGCCATGTTCGGTGGATTACCATCTTTGCCTCCCTTTACATTTAAATAAAAAAGTCAAACAAAGACGAGGTTTTTTTTATAGGATTGCACTGTGCACTTAAAAATTCGTAAATAATTTCTCTAATCGGCTTGCTACCCGTAACATGAGGCATTCTCAACTTAGACCTATTGATAGAGTTTCTAATACTTGTTTCCTATATTAAGAACAAACCATTGAAATCATGAACTGTTACTTACAATAATAAGAAGTTAAAAGTAGTTATGAAGTCTTACCTTAAATTTTTCACTTAAAAAAGTTCCTTGACCAACCATTCCCAATCACTCTTGTCTACCTCCTCCAGGACATCTTTTAGAGCTTCATGCAATGTCTTAAACTTCACATACCTGTGCAATGATCCTCTCCAATTGGTCCATAACTTTCTCATATGGTTTAAGACATGATCTCTTTGATGATTCATGTCATCAATGTCAAATTTGTCCTAAAATATTTTGCAAAATCATTAATCAAGAAAGTAAATATCTTCATGTACACTAAAAAAATCGATGTAGTACACATTATGGCATATTCAAAGTTTAGAATACGTACTAGGTTCAGTTAAGATCTCTAAGTTTCATCAACGAACCTAACCTCTATAATAGTTACATTTAGAGAGGAAAAACAATTGTGTGTGCACATAGACAAGAAATGTGAGAGCTGCATAACTACAATGTTTTATTTAGATGCTAGAGTTCCCAAACCCAGGAAATTAAGCCAAACAACTCACTGTCCTTGCCCATTCTAGGAGAGCCTTCTACTACTTGAGATACCAAAGTTCACAAAAGTACAAAGATCTTGGATAGATAATAACCCTGTTATAACACTTTAAATATTTTCATGCGGCATGAAAGGAAAGTCCAAAGCTAGATATATTGGTAACATGAAAGTTTAATAAGATGTAACAAAGTGCACTTCTGTTAGTGTTGCGACACATCATCAGGGGAAGCACTGAGTTCACTTTTTCGAGCAGGCCACTTCAATGTCAAGAATCTTTGTAAAGCATCAACTATTTCACACTATTAACAATGTAATTGGCAGAGATCACTGATATACTCATTTGCCAGAATCTACTTCAGGAAAATATCTATTTGAGATTTTTTTAAAATTCTAACTAGCATCTTAATTAGATAACACTTCATAGTAACAGTAACACACTCTCTAAGTTAGACACAGATTCAAGAAGTGATCCCGGTAATGGATGCAGCGAAAGACAACTTATAAATGCAAACCAGCTTAAAAATAAAGATTCATAGGAAACCAACTTATAGAGAAAATGTTCCTTTGTTTTCCAAGTTCAAATGCTGTTATTTTGATGTGGTGAAGGTTAGCAATTTCAATTAGTAAGGATAACAGAGTGGGAACCCTCTGGTTCCCTACTAATTGAAACAAAGGTTGCAATCATTGACGGAAACTCTGCACTACCCATTGATGTCTCCAACTGAAGAATACCCTTTCACAAAAGTGAGAGCATATAGTACACCAGGTGAGATTCATTTATGTGGAACAATGGTGACAGGAAAAATCACTTGCGGTCCTTGTACTGCACCAGCAAAAGCAAAAGTGAAGCCAAAGTGAGCAAATCTTCAATTTTCTTACTGTTATCACATTTGTACAATTCTACAACCTATCAAAATCAATTATATAATTTAATTAGCAAATACTATATAAAAAATTATGTTTAAAAAAATAACAATAGTATATAACTAGAACTAACCTTTTTTTTAACAAACTAATGAACTCCCTATCTGAATATTTTTGAGAGGCATCACCTTGTATTTGTGAAAACTCTCTGCAAAAAATTAAAGAATAACATGTCATTTTAATTGAAATCATCTATAAAGTATAAGTGAATTATTATGTCGTGTCAATACTTACTCGGGAAATGGTTAAATTTCATCACAGTTCTTCAAAATATAAATATGTGATTGCTCTAATTCATCTGGATTAAGTTTGTCTAATTTTCCAGCTTTTATTCTTTTCCAGGTTGACAAAAAATTATTAAACCTCCATCAGATTCAATAATACCACCATCATATTTCTGCTCAAGGAGATTAAACTTTATTTTCATTGTATGCAAATACCTTGAGCATAAAGTCATACATTCAGTTGCCAAATATCCCTCCGCGATAGAATCTTCTGGGCAAGCCCTATTACCAACTAAAAATTTCAAAAAGTATAGCCATCGTTCCACCGGATATATCCATCGATATTGAATAGGTCCAGCAATCATAGCTTCATTAGCTAAATGAATTGGCAAGTGCACCATCACATCAAAAAATGAAGGAGGGAATACCTTTTTCTAACTTGCACAGAGTTATAGGAATTTGAGCTGCTATCTGTTCTAACTCATCCATTCTTAAACATTTTGCTCCAAGCAAGTTGAAAAATAAAGACAACTCAATAAGAGGTTCACATACAGATTTGCAAAGCATAAGACGTATAGCAAGTGAAAATAGATGTTGTTGAAGAACATGACAATCATGACTTTTTAGGCCTGAAATTTTGCGATCTTTAGTATTGACACACTGAGATATATTTGATGAATATCTATCTGGGACCTTTATGTTCTTTAGGAATCTAAAAAAACTGTTCTTCTCTTCATAAGATAACGTATAACATGTTGTTGGTAGCTCATATTTATCCCTATTTTTAATTGGATGCAATTCTTTCCTCAGGTTCATTACTTGCAAATCCAATCGAGCTTTTATGGTATCTTTGGTTTTTCCTTTGATATTTAAGATTGCCCCCAAAATATTGTCACATACATTTTTCTCAATATGCATCACATCTAAATTATGTCGCAACAATAGAGTTTTCCAATTAGGAAGATCAAAGAAAATACTCTTCTTATTCCAATTATCACCCCTACTCTCATGTGATATTTTAGTCTTCTTCTTTGGATCCTTTGTTAGTGGCAAACCATCTAAATCAGCCACTTGATCAAGGTCACCCGATAAAACTTTGGGTGGTAGTCTTCGCTCCTTAGTGCCATCATGACTCTTTATCATTCCTCCATTTGTGATTAAGAGGAAGAAAGCGTCTATGGCCCATATAACATTGCTTTTTACCATTTGCTAACCTAATTGAGGATGTTTCTTTATTGCAATATGGGCAAGTCAAATTTTCTTTTGTACTCCATCCAGATAAATTTGCATAAGCAGAAAAGTCATTAATGGTCCATAATAAAGCAGCATGCAACATGAAGTTCTGCCTACTTGACGCATCAAAGCTCTCCACTCCAGTTTCCCATAATTCCATTAATTCATCCATCAAAGGCCGAAGATAAATATCAATTGCATCTCTCGGACTTTCAGGACCAGAAATAAGCATCGACAAAATAAAATTCTCTTGCTTTATACATAGCCAAGGTGGTAAATTATAAGGAATAACTACAACAGGCCAAATGCTATACGGAGTACTAGAACTTCCAAATGGTTGAAAACCATCACTAGCAAGTCTAAGTCAAACATGAGGTTCAACGGCGAAAGATAGGTGAAGTTCATCAAACTTTTTCCATGCCATTGAGTCAGCTGGGTGCCTCATTATTCCATCATCAACTCTTTTGTCATGATATCATGTCATTAAAAATGTTATCTTTGAGGACATAAACAATCTTTGGAGTCTTGGCTTTAAGGGAAAATAACGTAAAATCTTGTGCGCTATCTTGTTCCCACTCTTAAATTTAGTTTCTCCACTATGTTTATCCTCTTTCCATCTAGATGCTCCACAAACTTTGCAAGATTCAAGAAACTTTTCATCCTTCCAATATAACATGTAATTATTCTTACACGCATCAATCTTCCTGTGAGAAAGTCCAAAATCCTGAATTATCTTCTTCAACATCTTCAACAACATTGTAAATGACTCATGACGCCAACGCCCAATACTTTTGATATGAAGCAATTTAACTATAGTAGAAAGTTTAGAATCTTTTGAATTTTGGTACAATGGTTGCTCAAAATCCTTTAAAAGCCTATAGAATATTTTTGCTTCAAGATTTGGCTCCTCCTCCAGAAAATCATCACCATCAGTGTTCGTATTGTCTACATCAGAATCAGGGTATAAATCTCTTAGGATCCCATGTATTTCATCCTCACCATCAGCTTCTTCAATGTCATCATCTTCTACATCTTCTAGAGTTGATTGTGGCTCACCTAACTTTCCCCCGTGGTGATACTGAAAAGTACAATTTTGAATTATTCCATGTACTATCAAATGTGACTTAACCATCTCACGTTTTTCCGAAGATGTGTTATAACATTTGATACATGGACAACGTATTATACGCGCTTCACTTAATCTTGTAAAAGCAAAATCCAAAAAATTATCCACCCCAGGCTTGTAAACATTACCAAGTCGGTCATGGACAAGTTCCATCCATTTCTTATCAGGTGCCATAATCTGGTACATGTGTAATATATATGTATATATGATTAAAATATATGTATTAGCTAGAAGTAAATATTTATTCAACAAGCCAACAAATAAGCAAACACTTCAACTTGTATGTAGTACAAATGTATACTAAAGCAAAATCGATAATAATCATCATATCGACTTTTAAATTCGTAATTCAGATTGAAAAATCTAAAGTAAAAGCAAACATAGGTTACATATATGAGCTTTCTAAAGTATCACAGCCACGATCAATGTTTTAGAAATAAAACAATGATCATCTAACAATTTTTACAATAATGAATACAGACATCACTAAGAAATATAATGAAAACAGAACAATGATCATATAACAACTTCTATTTCCTGGAATTAAAATTAAAGGGCTAATTAAGAAATATAGCTCAACTTTATTTGGCCAGAACATCATCTTCTAGGTAAGATAAGAAAACAATACTTCAATTCATTAAATTAAACAGCAAAGAACTTTTCAGAGAACTAGTCAAAGAAGTTTTTTTCTTCTGTACTAACTATTTACAATAGCAAAAGGCAATAATTTTTTATTTAAAAAATACAACATCAGGCATTGCTATTTTTATCCCACTAGCATATTATTTTCATTGGTAAATGGAGTTTCTTTGTTAAATCTTGCTAAAATAATACATTAATATTATGTGATAATCTTTTTGGAGATTGCTTTGATCACAAATGGTCATAAAAAGAGGTTTTTCAGGAACTAATCAGTGAAGATCTAAGGAACACCACATCTAAACACATATTGTTACAAATTATGAGGTAAATTTAATCCCTACAAACTTATTTGATTCTTAAATCTAAATATTCCAGCAAGCAAACAAATAGTAGAGGTACTGCAAGAAGCCTCGCCATAAAGGGCGTCGAAGTAACTATAAATCTGAAAAATATACATGTAATTATAAGAAGAAATTTAATATTTTAAAAGTAGAGAGATAAAATAAAGACCCAATTTCACAATAATTATAACTACAAGTTTAGCGACTTGAGTTTACCTTGACGAGAAGGAGAACGGAACCCGGCTATTAGCGTTGACACAGATTCACCAGAGAAGACAAATTATAAGCTATGTACAGCAAGAAGACCAAATTTTTTTGTGATTATTTATTGAGTTTTGCTCTCTATATATATAGTGTTAATCACTGGAGAACTTCACCGATCGAATAGGGGGCAGTTGCAGCGAGCACCCTATTTGTTCGTGATTCTTTGCCTCTTCTTTTGCTGAATTTGGTGTATGTGTTTTGGGATAACATTAGAGTGAGAGATTGTAGAGTTTGTTTTTGATAATTTGGGGGTTATGCACGGATTTGGTTAAGAAAAAAAGGAGGGAATAATTAGCGCTCAGTTTTCATTTTATTCAGATAGTAAAAAATAACTTTAACGACCGGAATAAATATTGGCCACTATAAGTATACATATAACGACTGGATTAATTTTCTTTCGTAAAGAAGTTGTCGTTAAAGACCTCTTTTCTTGTAGTGTACATCTTGACTTACTTCCTACCTTTCCTCAACTTAATGTATACTCCAGTATGTTTAAAAGTAAAAGGATCAACGGTCCAGATGTATGGTCGGCTCCTCCATCTTCGTGCCTAGGTAAAACTCCACTCTTTTTTCCCTTGTGCTCTCTTCTGTACCCCCTCCCTCCCCCTTTTGCTATCGTCATCTCTCAATTGTCATTCTCCACTACCTCTTCGAATTCAAATAGAACCCTAATGGCTTCATGCCACTATAAATAGAACATTGAATGTCCTCACCAAGCACACCTAAGACATCAGAAATACACTAAAAATATAAAAAGAGAGCATTAAAACTTAAGAATTTTCTGTTGTTCTAAATGTTCAGAAGTCCTGCTCTAATCTCCTTTTTTTTTCTTCTTGTACGAGTTCGATTGCTGTATGTTAGTTATATGTTTGGATTCCTAAACTGCTACAAACTTTCTTTACTTGGTTTGCTGCTCCGAAAAAGGTCAGTGAACACTGATCCCCTCTTTATATCTTTCAATTAGTTATGTGGCTTTTCGTTTCGATGCTTTTCTGTTAGTTACTTGCTATTCTGATTCTTCATGGTATTCATCAATGGTCAAGCAACTATCTCATTATGTTCTGTCCTTGTGTTACTCTTGTTTAAGTTGATAATACTTTCCTGAAAATTGTGTTTACTTCTATCTTGCTGATAAATTAACATT